ACACATCATTGATAGGTGATCATTATAACCTCTGCTTAAATAATTCCACTCATAAAGAAGTCACCATTTCTCAGGCAGCCCATTCTACCGAGGTCAATATTTATTTAGTATGGTAATATGTATGCAACGACTTCTAGAAATCTTCCCGGAAAGGACAACATTTCCCCAGACTACCTTAATAACTCTCAAAAAATATATTAGTAAATCTAAGTGCAGTTTATGAAAATATATTTAAGTCTACAAATAAAGAAATAAAAATTAATATAATTTATCTCATGCACTTATTGAGAGGATTATATAAATTATATGTAAAGCACTTAGTTCAGCGGTTCTCAACCTGTGGGTCGCAACCCCTTTGGGAGTCAAATGACCTTTTCACAGGGGTCACCTAAGACCAGCAGAAAACACATATATAATTACATATTGTTTTTGTGATTAATCACTATGCTTTAATTATGTTCAGTTTGTAACAATGAAAATACATCCTGCATATCAGATATTTACATTACGATTCATAACAGTAGCAAAATTACAGTTATGAAGTAGCAATGAAAATAATTTTATGGTTGGAGAGTCACCACAACATGAGGAATTGTATTAAAGGGTTGCGTCATTAGGAAGGTTGAGAACTACTGACTTAGTTGCTTGGAACATTGAAAATATTATTTAACTTTAGGTATTATTAAATTAATACTATTAATAAGTACTACCTCATTTTCACTTACATTGATGAGAACTAATATAAATTTTTAACACTTAGCATTTTGCCAGATATATTATTATACATTCTTAATACATACTTGCTGAATTATGATAATCAGTGTGGTCTCACTAGCTACAAGGCACAAATCGATTGTGTGCAACTCGTTGAGAACCTGGTGATTTTCACTAGGGGTGCATAGCTTTCCTGAGGGAGCATCTGCCCCCTGGTGGTCAGTGGACATCATAGCAACTGGTCGACTCCTGGTGGTCAGTGCACGTCATGGCGAGCGGTTGAGCGGCCTTAGCATATCATTAGCATATTATGCTTTGATTGGTTGAGTAAACAACCAGACACTTAGCATATGAGGCTTTTATTATATAGGATAATAAAAGGCTAATATGCAAATTGTCCCTTCAACTGGGAGTTTGACCAGAGTTAGACCAGGAAGCAGAGCCGACCGGCCAACCATCAGTGGCCTTTACCCTGGCCAGCCTGGCGCAATGGGCCCCGATCAGGGTGGGCCAGCCAGACCCCAGCCATCTACAAATTTGTGCACCGGGCCTCTAGTTAAGAATAAGATCTGTTTAGAGTAAAATAATTGAAGTGATACCAGGCCTCTTAAGATATCCGGTCAAGAGTCTATGGTTATGATCACAAGAAGTAGAAAAGATATCTCCTTGGTTCAGATTTTCTGTGATTGCCAATGAAGGGAAATTCCACTAGTAAGTCAGAGGCCCTCCTCCTACCCAGCCTCTGCTCACAGCTTAAGTACAGATAGAACACACTTCAAATAGACATCCCATTTTCTGAGAACTGTCAGTACTGTAACAGGGAATAAAGCTTTATACCAGTCTGACTAACTATGAGATAGAAGTAGAATAAAATGTACTAACAAACTGATAAAAGCAATGAACATACTGACAGTTTCCATATAAGCATATTGCAGGCATCAGCACTTCTAGTTCCTGCTTATACAAAAAATGGCCTTGACCACAACTTTGGTTGATGTGGATCACCCAACTGCAGGAATTTGGCTAGCACTGATCAGTTCCACATGCTGACATTAACAATCCATACTGGGACCAGCAAGGACACTGCCAGCTTGTCCACAGGCCCTCCTCCTGATCTCTTTGTTCGGCTTTCCCTCTCCTTCCCTATAAACACCCCTGCCTACATTGAGATTCTAAGATGGGTTTTGGACAAGAGTCTCCCATCTTCTTGAGATGTCGGCACTTGAATAAACCTCTTTCCTTTTTTTACCACCATCTGTCTCACACAAGTTTGGTTTTCGTAGTGGCAGGCAGTCGAACCTTGGTTCTGATTACACTACTAGCACGTTCCTGTGGCAGTGTCAATTTAATACTCTGACAAATATTTCTTCAAAATCAGAGGATATAATTTTGTAAACATTTATTTTTCATGTGGTCTGTAGAATTTCAATTAATCTGATTAAAGGAACTTGTATGTGTTTGGATGAATAAGGAGTCTGAAGAAGTAAGGGAGTAATTATATTAAAAAAATCAGAGGATATTTTAATTATTAATGAAAATTTTTAATTAAAAATCTATGAAAACAATGCAACAGTTAGAAAAGGATACTCTATAAATGTCAATTTACCTGTAGCCTATTTAAAAGTACAAGTTGAGGAGTAATTATGAATTAAAATCTTAATGACATAATAAACAAATAGCAATAGTTTACTAAAATGTTAATGACTCCATATAGATGATACCAAATAGCAGTGTGATGGTTAATTTTACATGTCCATGTGGCTAGCTAGACTATATTTGCTAGTGTTTGGTCAAACACTAGTTTAGGTGTTGCTGTAATGTGAGTGGCTTCGTCCAATCAGCTAAGAGTAAAGGCAGAGATTCCGTGAGGATTAGTGCTGTCAGACCACAAAATAGGGATTCTGTCTTATTTTCCAGGTTTTAGACTCAAGACTATAACACCAACTCTCTTTTTAAATTTTTTTATTGATTAAGTTATTACATATGTGTCCTTATCCCCACATTACCCCTCATACCCCCAACTCATGCCCTCACCCCCCTTGTCATCTGTGTCCATTGGTTAGGCCTATATGCTTGCATATACGTCCTTTGGTTGATCTCTCCCTCTTACCCCCACCCTTCCCCACCTTCCCTCTGAGGTTTGACAGTCTGATCAATGCTTCTCTATCTCTGGATCTGTTTTTTTATAGCAGCAACTCTTACATGAGTCTCCATCCTGCCATCTTGCCCTATAGATTCCAGACTTGCTAGCTGCCACATTATGTAAGCCAATTTCTTTTTAAAATATATTTTATTGATTTTAGAGAGGAAGGGAGAGGGAGAGAGTGATAGAAAGGTCAATGATGAGAGAGAATCATTGATTGGCTGCCTTCTGCATGCCCCCTACTGGGGATCAAGTCCACAACCCAGGCATTTGCCCTTGGCTGGAATTGAACCTGGGACCCTTCAGTCCACAGGCTGATGCTCTGTCCATTGAGCCAAACCAACTAGGGTGTAAGTCAATTTCTTAAAATC